TCAAAGATCAAAGAAAAGTCTGATAAATATTTTTTCCTGAATGCCCAATCAGTTGATACTGCTTCCACCTTCCAGGAAGCTTATAAAGCATTTATTATGTGCAATACCAATCAACTCTATTCTCGTAGGAAAAGGAATGTCTTGTGCTTATAAGTATATTAGAACATGACCTGTCATTAGATACTGAGAATTTAAAATCACACCCTTGCACAATTAGTTAAGCTTTGCTTTAACACTGCCTGTTTTGATCAAGCCTTAGCAGAGGAGTCTTTTGAACAGATTCAAGTCCCCCAAATACCAGATGCCTTATTAACTACTTTAGAGGCTGTTAACACCCCTATGGAAATTTCCAAGGCTATCAAAACTTTGAAACTGGGATAGAAGCTCTGCTTTAGTCTATAAAAAAGTTCTAAAACATCTAAAACCCTGGCCTCTGAAATTTTAAAAGCACATATAGTAATGGTCCCTCTATACATCTGGAGCCTCCCTGCATCAGGAATTATCCTTTACCACCAGACTGTGAGCACACAGTCCTACAGTGGTTCTGGCCGATTATATATATATTTTTTTTCAAAATGAGCATGTGTAATTTGATAGATTCAGCTCCCATTATTTTCAATGGGGTTTGGGTTCAGCATCCAAACTTCTTTGAAATTTGCAGAATCCTGCTTGAACCGAACCCAGGGCGACACATCACTAGCCAGCAGCAGGATTACAAGAGTGGTCAATAACCATACCTGTTTTTATGGCATTGCTCCCTTCTTGCTTGCTTTTGGATTAAAGGAAACAATTTATTACAGAGTGGATTTAACCCTCTATCCACCCAACCAAACTAGCAATTTAAGCCTAATAAATGGGACACTTTTTAGACCCCAAACTCATTAGCTTGTCATTTTGTTATCTTTGGTCTAATGTGCTGAAATAAATACATTTAGGGAACCCTTTGAGATGCTAATGAACAAAAAGCTACAGGTGTGCACCTCAATCCAATGTATATTTCTCTAGCATAAATTCACGGCAGCCAAGGGAGTGATTTTGCAATCCTGGAGACTATTGCTCATGCAATTCAAAAGCATGGTATCATGCACATTGTTTTTTTTTTTAACTTACTTCACAGTGTAGCAGAACAATTTTCAGCAAATCTGGAAGCTGTGGACTGACCATTTTCTTCTTCCTAATTTCAGCAGAGACTGTTTAACACATTGAGTTTGCCCCAATCACCTATTTCTCAAATGGGCCAAGGGAGCCCTGCTTACAACTTCAACCTTCGCTACCCAGCAGGAGGCAATACTCTCTTCATTGCCTAGCCTTCATTGACCCTCTTCACCCCCGGATTCATTTCCTTATCTCTTTACTAACCCCCTTTCCTTTCTACCTCATTCCTCCATTCATTCCCTTCACCACAAATATATGTTTTTATCTCTTCTTCTCTCCTTTCTTTTTCCTTTCCTTTTATTTCCTCTATCCCCATATTTATTCCCCACTGTACACTACTGTCTTCCTTACCATGCAGTGTGGGTGGTTCACTTGAACTTGAGCTGCTCCATGCTATAATGTCCTTGTTCTCATAAATCCTGAAATGGTGCAGCCTGATTATACGTAGAGCGACGGTGATTGTTGGAGGCTGAGTGTATTGGTGCCGAGGTATTGGGCACCATTAAAGGTGAGTGTCGTTCTTATACATTTTCCTTGAAAGTTTGAATCTTTTAATAAATACTACACTCTGAGAATATTTGTTTTCTGGTACACATTGATTTTTTTTAGTGAGGGAGAGCTGCATACCACTCTGAAGAAGAGGTCCATAGAGAGGGAGGATACCAGCCGGAAGCTGAATCTGGATTCCTATATAATAAGAACTTATGACCGTCCCCTCCACTCCACCGAACCTGCCTTACTCAAACTCTCCAACGACCTGCTAACCGCCAAAGCTAACGGCCACTATTCAGTGCTCCTTCTCCTCGCCCTTTCGACACAGTCGACCACCCCCTCCTCCTCCTCAAAAAACTACACTCCCTTGGCCTCAGAGACTCTGCTCTCTCCTGGCTCTCGTCCTACCTATCACAACGCTCCTTCAGCATTACCTATAACGCTACCTCCTCCCCCTCACTCCCCCTCTCTGTTGGGGTCCCTCAAGGCTCTGTCCTAGGGCCCCTTCTCTTCTCCATCTACACCTCCTCCCTTGGCCAACTCATACTCTCTCACGGCTTCAACTACCACCTCTATGCCGACGACACGCAAATCTATCTCTCGACTCCTCGCCTCACCCCCTCAGTCTCCGCCCGAATCACAAGCCTACTGAACGACATATCAGATTGGATGTCGCTCCACTTCCTTAAACTGAACCTCTCCAAAACCGAGCTCCTAGTCTTTCCCCCAGCCCGCACACCACCCCCTACTGACTTCTCCATCACCTCCAACAATGCCACCATCAGGCCCGCCCTGCAGGCCAGAGTAGTTGGTGTCATTCTTGACTCCAATCTATCCTTCCAGCCCCAAGTCCAATCACTAACAAACTCAAGCAGACTCCACCTCCGCAACATCACCAAAATACGCATGTTCCTAACCCCAGAAACCACTAAGCAGCTCATCCACTCCCTCATCATATCACGACTCGATTACTGCAACTCCCTCCTCACTGGTCTGCCTCGCCACAGGCTATCCCCGCTTCAGTTGATACTGAATACGGCAGCCAGACTCATCCACCTCACTAACCGCTCCGTTTCCACCAAACCCCTCTGCCAATCACTCCACTGGCTTCCGATTGCCCAACAGATCAAATTCAAAATCCTAACACTGATGTACAAAGCTGTCCATCATACTGCCACAAACTACATCACCGACCTAATATCCAAATACCACCCAAAACGCACTCCGCTCCTCACAAGACCTCCTTCTCTCTAGTTCCCTGGTCTTCTCCTCCCATGCCCGCCTCCAGGACTTCTCCAGGGCGTCACCCATCCTCTGGAACTCCCTACCCCAATCCATCAGGCTATCACCTACTTTCCTCTCCTTTAGGCGCACCCTGAAAACCCATCTCTTCAGGGAAGCCTACCCCACCCCCTGCTAATTGCCAACCTCCTCCACTCTTCCTACCACTCCATCCCCCACAGCTTTTCCTCCTGTACCACTATCCCCTCCCTCCTAGATTGTAAGCTCCAAGGAGCAGGGCCCTCGAACCCCTCGTGTATCGCATTGTATTGTTATTGTACTGTCGCATGTATTGTCTCCCATTGTAATGTACAGCGCTGAGCGAACTGTTGACACTTAAATACTGTATAATAATAATAATAATTAAAGCAATTCTAAAGATTATTTTTTTTTTTTTTGGAAAATAGAAAACATGTCTATACTTACCTACTGTGTGCAGTGGTTTTGCACAGAGCAGCCTGCATCCTCCTCTTCTATGGTCCCCTGCAGGCTCTCCAGGCCCCTCCCTCCTGTCGGATGCCTCCACTGCAAGCCGCTTGCTATGGGGTCACCTGATGCTCCATGTGTCCATTCACACACGGAGACATGGTGTGGCCCTGCCCCTCTCTCTCCTCATTGGCTGACTGGCTGTGATTGACAGCAGTGAGAGCCAATTGCTCCCGCTTGCTGTCTCAGCCAATGAGGAGGCAGAGACCCATGACAGCCGAGGCTGTTGTTTACATCACTGGAACGCGATGAGGCTCAGGTAAGTATTGAGGGGGCTGGGGGCACTGCTGCACACAGAAGGTTTTTTACCTTCATGCATAGAATGCATGAAGGTAAAAACCTTGAGCCTTTACAACCACTTTAAGGGGTGGCGCATTTGAGCGCATTTGAGTGATACACGTGGTTGAGCACTGAATGAACCAAATAGGATGACGAAAAATAACTAAGCACTATATTAAGCACTGTACTACCCACATTGTGGTATGAGATATTTTAATATAGTTGTTTGTACTTTATGCTTACAAATTAGTATGGACTGGAATATTATATGATGTTGTTTGCAATTTGGTGGTATAAAAGGGCAGCTACACATTTGGTTTGCTTAATATTATATATAATTTGTGGTTGTGTAAGAAGTAGGCATATATTACTCTTGAACTGTAATCATCAATACTTGTTTCTAATGTAAACCAGTTAAAAAAATTAAAAATCTTTTGAACGAAAGAAGAAAAAGAAAAGGAACTGAGATATACTTCATCTCATTTATACACCTCTTCTAGACATTTAAAACAAAAGTTGAGTTTATTTACTAAAGCTGGTTGAGTCAGAATCTTGTGCACCTGTGCACGGTAGCCAATCAGCTTCTAACCTCAGCTTGTTCAATTAAAACCACTTACCCTGTAGCGGATTTACCCCCCTTCCTGACCTGGCCATTGCTACGGCGCTGCTTTACTTTAACTAACAATTGCACGGTCATGCAACGCTGCACCCAAATTAAATTTATGTCCCTTTTTCCCACAAATAGAGCTTTCTTTGGTGGTATTTGATCAGCTGTGCGTTTTTTTAATTTTTTGCGCTATAAACAAAAAAAACTGACAATTTTGAGTAAAAAACAATATTTTTGACTTTTCGCTATTAAACATGTCCAGTAAAAAAAATGTAAAAATAAAATTTCATCATAAATTTAGGCCAATATGTATTCTGCTACATGTCTTTGCTAAGAAAAAAATCCCAATACTGTACTTGTAAATTAATTGGTTTACATGAACGTTATAGCGTTTACAAATGGTGGTATAGATACTGGAATTTTTTATTTATTTTTTTTGTACTAGTAATGGCAGCGATCAGCAACTTTTAGCGGGACTGTGGTGGGCATTCTGACACTGGGGAAACTGAGAAAAAAACAATTTAAAAAAGCAAGTTTGTCATAAATTTAGGCCAAAATATATCCTGCTACATGTCTTTGCAAAAAAAAAAATCCCAATATGTGTAAATTAATTGGTTTATGTGAAAGTTATAGCGTTTACAGATGGTGGTATATATACTGGATTTTTTTTTTCACTAGTAATGGAGACGAGCAGCAACTCATAGCGGGACTGTGGCGGACATTCTGACACTGGGAGGAACTGACTTGGTTTCAATGACATCCCCAGTGACAGCAATACAGTGATCAGTGCTAATAAAAAGAACTGACACTGTACTAATGGCACTGGGCAGGAAGGGGTTAACATCTGGGGTGATCAAAGGATTAAATGTGTGCTGTTTCACATTATGTGCTGTGTGTGTGCTTCACTGTAAGCACACTGATTTGTATGGCTCTGCTATGCAGAGCCATACAAAGCAGTGTACAGGAGCTGACAGGGGAGAGATCTGTGTTGTTTATACACAGGTCTCTCTCCTGTCCAGGGGCGGACTGACCATTTGGAAACTCGGGCACTGCCCGAGGGCCCAGGGTCAGTAGGGGGCCCCATGAGATGCCCCTGGTACCTTTTTCATAGGCTTTTTTGAGTTTGGGCAAGGACACAGGGGCCCCATGATCCCCTATTGCCCGGGGGCCCCATGAGTTGTCAGTCCGCCCCTGCTCCTGTCGGTAACACTTGGTGATCACCGAGTGCCAGTGAGTAATCACCGGCTGGGACCAGGTGAATGACAGCCAAGGACGAGCGCGCCCCTACCCAGAAATGCAAAATCACGTGTATATATATATGTGATTTTGTGCACCCCTGTCGCCCTGTAATAGTATTTCTGCTATAGGGTGGAGGGGAAGTGGTTAAGCTTTAGCTGGAAGCTGATTGGTTTCTATGCAGAAGTGCACAAGAGTGAACCAGCTTTAGAAAATAAACCCCTGTGTCTTTCTTCGTAGTTTCTGGGCTTTGTAGTTACACATTTCAGTAATGAGAAAGTGATTCATCTCTTGGGATACAACACAGATGCTTTCTAGATACAACTGCTTTCAGGTAGAGTGAAACAGAACTTTCTGGAGACAACATTTTAGATTACACTGATGTACATACAGTTTTTAATAATAAAATAAAAAACACAATTTTTGCAAAATTATTATTTATTGTGCATAACTAACAGTCAAATACATCTTACTGTCCCATGCAAAATCAAATAGCACTATATAAGGAGCATCACACACACCTATGGGTTTAGTCAGTGGAAACCCAACATAGCCTGGAACTACAGAACTGCATCTATGAGCTTATATATCATTGCATAGTGTGAGGAGCAAAGCAGCATGGTGACAAATCAGATTTCACTTTACTAAAGACAAAACAGTTTGAGATGGATTGGACTGACCTTTGTGGGTATTTTGCTTCCCTTATGACCTATTCTATAGAATAAGCCTGGTACACCATCATGCTAATTCATGATGAAACTATAGATACAGCAGACCTTCACATTTGCATGAACTGCTTCTAGCTAATGTTGCAGGAGTTACAAGCTTTTTCATCATTATGCAAAAGTAAAGTTTTGAAGAGAACTACCATAGCGTAAATATTTAAATTCATCCAATATGAGGATATTTTGTGGTTCAGTCACACAACGGTTGTCTCATTTGTTTTCATACATTGCTGTGGAAGGCCAGACCAATCTGGTGATATTTTTTTAACTTAGATTTGGCACATCTTAGTAATAAAGTATTTCAATTGAAATTATTATCAGAGAGAAAATACAAATAATAAGATAATTTATAATATCTGCTGTTAACAAGGGGAGTCTACATAGAAGGGATAATCCACTGCAAGTTCATGCAAAAAATAAAAAAATGCCCAGCAATTTGCCTCGCTAGTCAGCAAAAAGGACCTAATTAAAATGGAAACTATAATAGTTCTGGGTCAATATTTTTTCGTTCTTTGTTTTACGTTCTTTTATTGTATTACCATTTTTATCTGTTTGTTTACTATATACATGTATCCTTTGTTTCTTAGTTAAATATTTAATTAATGACAACATTTGTTACACAGTATGGGTTTTCTGAAAATAAATCACAGCAGTAGCTGTCCCCTTTCAGACCTGCTGTCTCTGACTGAAATCTCTAACACAGCTTTTTGAATAGAGGAGGGAGCCACTCCGCTAACACATTCATTGTGTTTATAAATTTCATATTGAGCTATTGTACTTTGTAAAAGACAGGCTTTTTCAGTAAAAAAGAGCTAAAAACAGCTTCATATGTTGGTTCAGATATGTAATTTTAATATCCAGTAATTTATTTTTGCAAGATTTTATCATTTTGTCCACACTATTAAAAATGAAAATTTATAGAAAACTACTATGTGCCCTGTAAAACTATTATAATAATAGGTCCAAGTATTATCTAGAACCCATTTGCTACCTGGCTTGGATAAAGTGACTATTGTACTCTGCTCTCGCCTGTAATGCTGAGAAATGTAAGAGTTCTGCTTTTGAAAACCACTTTCAATTCAAAAAGATTGATAGTGCTTTCAAGTTCAATCCATCCCTGGAATCTGCTCTGTGACACATTAGTTGGTTGGATGAAAAATCTGGATCCGAAGACACTAAACAGCAAGTATCACTAAGAGCTGTCTACTACAAGTAAAAAAACACCTTACTTCTCGAACTCTGTAGTGTTTCCTTGCCCCAGCTCTATCATTTGGGATTTGGTGGAATTTGGCTTTGTAATACAAACATAAATTATAGAGGAACTGAAATGTTTCAGTGGTCACATTTTAGTTCCGACCATCACACTCTGTAAACAACAGTGCAAACAACTCTTCTGTAAGAAGTAACAACTATTAAAAAGAAAAAAACTACTTTTAAAGTGTTACTAAACCCACAACAGTAAAATCAGTCTGCAGTATGCAGTAAAGCATGCTTGACATCCTCACTGTGGAACCTAAGGGGTTAATCCTCTGCATTGTGTAAAAATTATGTTTGATCCTGACTTCTCTGATCTTTCCCTTCTTCCAGTGTCCCCCTCTTATCTCCTGATACGACATCTGTGGAGACACTCTGCACATGCTCAGTTTGGTGTGTATTGCTAGAGAGGTTTTTTTTTTTTTTCTTGACAGAGTGCATGTGATCAGCACAGGGCCAATAAGCACTATCCAGTGCAGCTCCTAGTGCAGAAATAAAAATCCTCCTACAAGCTTTAACATGTGCTTTGCTGATGAGAAAAGGTATTTAACAGTTTATATTTACTAAAATAATTGCATTTCCATGTAGTGTGTACTGTGGGAGACCAGATATAGTGAATGCAGGGTCCTGGGTTTAGTAACACTTTAAGATAAATTAAGCTGGTACATCACAACTGTTCAACATTTTGCTCCTTTCCCAAAGGGAATTTGAGGCGTATGACTGCTATTTGATTACAGCAAAAATGGAATTTTAATTTCTATGACAAGAGAGAAGAACAATCTTAGAGCTGATTCACCCATGTGCAGTGCAGATTGAAGCTCAGGTTTCACAGCTAATTGATACAGTAGTTGTTCACAGGTTCACGCCAGGTTTACATCAGATTCAGGACAGGATTAGCTCAGGATCATATCCTGTTCACACATATACGGTTTTGAAACGGTTCCCATAGAAGTCAATAGCCTGTCACCTGAACCTGACCGCACTGCTCAGAAATCGGACATGACTCCTTTTAAAACCACACTGAATCCGAACCACCAGTGCACTGGATATATGTGAACAGGTACCATAGGAAGCAATGTTTTTTCACGTCATGCGGATTGGATACGGTTCAAACCACACCCAATCCACATATATGTGAACGGGTACTTAATGAAACCACTGCAAATAGGGGCAAAGCCATATCTTAAAATATTCCCCATCTTTTCTCTTAGATTATGCAAGAAAGATTTTGACATCTGTTTTGTGATGAGTCACAATTGCACTCAAAATTACTTTATTCCAACATTTGTAAAAGTGGAAGGAGAATGGAGTAAATTTCCTTTTATCACTAATATGAGCCAAAATTTTCATCCAGGTAATTTTGCAAACTGTTAAAAGCACTTCAAATGTATTGTCTTCACTTAACTATAAGGGATCTAATTTGACAAATCTAATTTAATTATTTTTACCACATTCCACTGACTAAATATACATTTCCACTGACTAAAGCCATTTTCTGGATAAAAGTACTGCACACCTGACATTTAGCATAAGTACCTAGTTTACCAGCAAAAATAAATGTAATTTAGCAATCTCTACACTCATCATCTTCCAAGCAGTTGGTATGTAGGTTCCTGACCCACTGTTATTTAAATTGTAATTTGCGTTTATTCTGTTTTTATTGCCTATCATTTGATAGTTTTTTTCCTTATGTGAAGAAGTACTTTCAAAACGTTTATACATAACATTTTACAAGAGCTGTCTGTGTGAGATCAATTACAAGTTACAAAGGTCTTACAGTAAAAACTATATAGTATCCAACAAATTTCCTTTCTGCCTGTGAAATTCTGTCTTTGTTACATAGAACTGATTATGTATAAAAACAAAAACAAGAAAAAAAAAAACTTTTCAAAATCATTCTCACAAAACCAATGTACATAGTAAGTCTTATATGAAATACACATTTTGTTACCTTTCTATTTTAGGCACACCAGGTGCTTATGACGTATATTAGACACAATAAAATATAACAACTCTATTTTATATATTGTTAAAAAAGGCCATGTCTCACTAAACTTGCCCTCAACTGTTAAAGAAATGAGTTCATACCCTTATAAGACCATCTTAAAAATAAAAAACATTATTGCATTCTTTTGCAACAGCCCCTTGTTATATATATCCAATATATTCTATTATATTCCACCATAAACTTAGAAGAAGAGTCAGCAATGGACACCATTGTATACACATAATCTTAAAGCAGGTTTATTCTGATGGAAATATGAAAAAAAGCTTGACATACTTATAATTTTTAATGAAAATGAACTGGACTTCCGTTATGTTTAGTCATACAACAAATGCCAACGTCTGGTCACGTGATCCTTCTGTCAAAGAAGGATGGTCAGGGTAGGGGGTTCTAATTATAACTTCAACCAAAAAAATAATAAAAGCCAAAGGGACTCAATATAATTAGGGTTAAAGACGTACCCCTACGGTCACTTGCCCACTCACTAATAATGTCAAAAGTGGGACTCCATGGTCAGCCCACAGCATGCACAAAAAGATGGCAGACAGAAAGAAATTGTGCCAAAGAAGGACCATGTAACTGAGCCTCCAGGGCTTCAATAGACCAAAATGAATTACACTTCTAAATTTAAATAGCATGAAAAACCTTTATTAATTCACAAAATAATAGTAAAAAGTAATAAATATCACCACGTTCCACCATCATAAAAATGAAAAGGTTGTCTAAGTACAAAAAGGTACATCTAGACATTATACGCACATACAGTACATATATCCAAAGTGTAATGCATACCATCAACCATCAATGGTTGATGGCATGCATTATACTTGGGATGTACTGTATGTATGTGTGTAAGAGGAACCTTTTTGTGCTTAGAAAATTTTTTATTTTTTATGGTGGTGGAAGGTGGCAATATTTATTACTTTTCTGTTTATTATTTTGTGTGAATTAATAAGGGTTTTTTTATACTATTTTAAAATGAGGTGTAATTAATTTTGGTTCATTTAAGCCCCAGAAGCTCAGTTACATGATCCTTTTTTGGCAGATTGTTTTTCTTTTCTGTGGTTCTAATTATGTGTTCTTTAAAATAATATTCCACCATTCACTGTAAAATAAATAAATAAAATATAATTTACCTATATAGTAACCATGGCATTTTAACTTATTTTGGTATTTTGAATGTTATTTTTCCCCTCTCTCATTTGGGTATGTGGTATATTATGGTGTACTTTAATATAAATAATACAAATATTTTCTAGCCCCACAGTATTGCATAAATTGTGCACACCTCTGAAATATGATACATGATAAATGTAGTGACAGCCCAGTTGGTTGCAAAGGAGCAGCATAATTCATGGAGTGTCTTTAGGAGGGGTGTTATAGAAAACAGAATTATAAATAGGGTTTAAAGTGACTGGTCGGTATGTTCTCTTCTTTAACTCTGTTGAAGGTTTGCTTTGAAGCCAGTGAGACATTCCTTTTTATTCATGGTATAAAATATCTCATTATTGTTCTCTCTGTGGAAACCAAATGCAAGCTACCTGCGGAGTGCTAACTTTATTGCTTTTTGATTTAGGATATATAATTTTCATTTGGGAATAAGATGCTAAGTTTAGCAGTGCTGATTAAATTCTAACATTTCCACATTAGGTAATATTAAATATGGGGGCTTCTTTACCACAGAGCTGACTTTACAGATGCGCATGGTTAGCATGGCTGTTGTTTAAATGGGTGCTTTAATACTGGATTCCAGGCATATACAGTATAAAAGCATCAATCATACAATTATGTATGAAATATTCATTAAATGCATTTTTAATACAACTAATTTAAGTACCGGAATCCTGTCTTTTTATTAGCCTTTTCCATGCTGGGAGAGGATGGGTCACTCTGTGCAAGTCAAGGTTTTATTGCTTGCACAGTGCTGTCAGTCTAACAATGTGAACATATTTAAAAGAGGGGAGAACACATGTATGGCTTTAATAGTGTATTTCTGCTTCTTAATTGTCCAATTAGCTGGGAGATGGTGGTACCTTGACTAAGTTGTATTGCCTAATTGTGATGGAAAATAAAGAGATCACTGACCTCATGTGCTATATGGGGGGTGCACAGTGACTGGATGAAAAGAATAAGAAATATTAGGGCAGGAAGAAGTGGTTTGATTATATGAAATTCAACATATTAATGTTATTCATACATATTTATAGGTTTGTCTGGGAGTTCAGCAACAGCGGCTCCATGAACACAACAGCCATAGTCCTCCTAGGGTTTTGTGGTGGCCACCTGTACTATTGGACTATAATGTACAGTGTCATAGACATGTGAAATAATATCTATGTACAGGGACTTTTAGGATAACTATGTGTCATCAGTCCTCTGTACATCAATTATTTAAAGAGAACCTGTCAAGTTCCAAATAACAGCAGGAGCACAATCACCCAGTGTACTATGCACTCAAGGAAAGAAAGTATTTATCGGTGCCCCTACACACCTGTTATAGGCTTTATATACTTTGTATGCAATTTTTAAAGGCAAGTATCCAACTTCTCTATGTATGAGACAGCACTTTGATATAGAGGTTAGCTTTCTTGTCTTCCAGTGTGTGAACCCTGAGAATAATATCTTTCAAGAACAGCAGCTGAATGAATGTTATTTGGTGTTGCTGTGTTTGCTTGGGTTGGCATGATCTGGTTTTCCCTCAAAACCCAAAGACATCATGCTTTTTTTTGTGCTATGCAAATCTCTTCTATGTGTGCCTTAATTAAAAAGCTAGTTATAAATTGGGGTGGTCACCATTTTTGTTTAGCTTGCTGGCTTTAACGTGGGGACACATTGAAACCCTTCAGCTGCCATTGTGCTTTTCTGGGCTTCTGGTGTGTCCCTGTGCCTTTTAAGGTGGAATAGGCTGCCTCCAGGCGTATCTGCACTTAAAGTGATATTAAAGGCAATTAAAAAAAAACATGTCATACTTACCTGCTCTGTAGTTTTTGGTTTTGGTGGTTTTGCACAGAGCAGCCCCAATCCTCCTTTTCTCAGGTCCCTCGCTGGTGCTCCTGGTCCCTCCCTCCTGCCAAGTGCCCCCAGAGCAAGCAGCTTGCTATGGGGGCCCCCGAGCAGGATCACTCACGAGTCACTGCTCTGTGTCTCTATTGACACACACAACTTCAGCTTGGCCCTGCCCTGCCCCCTCTCTATCCTCATTGGCTCACTGGCTGTGATTGACATCTGCAGGAGCCAATGACTCCCACTGCTGTCTCAGTCAATGAGGAGGGAGAGTCCCTGGAGAGCCAAGGCTCCTGTTCACATCACTGGATAGCGATGGAGATCACTTAAGTATTGGGGTGGCTGAGGGGGATGCTGCACACGGAAGGTTTTTGACCTCTATGCAATTAGGATTACACTCTACAGAGAGCCTTGATGAGGCAGTGCAGCTTTTACATAAATTTGCAAATACTGTGCAACTAAAACTGTTTTAATATAAAATTGTTAGACAGTGTAACTTGTTTTTTTTTCTTGCTGGCTAGTGTGCTGGGAAAAGTTTTTTGTACATACTGCTAGTTCTAATGTATGGGTTCTCTGGAGGTATGGATGGATATAAAATGTTCTATTACTCTGTAGAGTGCTGCAAAGTATGTTGGCACTATATTAATAAGTAAAAACAATTATTTATGTGTGATTTATTTTAAACTCTCTTCCAAGGTGGGCACAAAGAGCCATACCTTTTTTTTTTAATAAATGCACAGCATTGGAGGCACTGTCTACTCTTGTTGTAAGTTAAAATGTGACAGGTCCTCTTTAGTCTTTTGAAATACACTTTCTAGATTGTATTCTCCTCTGTAACATTTTCAAACTTATTTTTTATTTGGAATACTGGTGATAGATTTTCTAGGTTCTCTATCAATGCCTCTGAACATCCGTTGTTAGGATGTAATACTATGTCTTACAGCTCTGCTTCACTGTCTTTCACTCCCATACATCTTCAAACCTGAGCTGAAAGTACTTTGCAGAGATGGCTCTCTACCTGTTACACAAGGCTCATTTATAGTGTGTCTTGGCAAAACACATGCATTAGACTCCTGAACAGCGAGAGACCGTGTTGACAAGCCATGCAGAACAATTGCTTCTGTCATTTCTTTCTTCTGATACGTATTACACTGATGTGATATTTCAGCTTCACTTTTCTCTGAATCCAGAATCTTATTTGTAAGATGATCCAAGACAAATGATTCTTCAGACGAGAGAGGATTATTATATGGTGAACTTAAGTCACCTCTCCCATACTGCTGGATTGTCATAGAAAAATTATTGGAAAGATGGCCACCTTCACCCCAAGCAACATGAAGCCCAGAGATTCCAAACTGATTGTTTGATTTAAAAGATTTTTGTCCATTCCTCTGGTTGAATTTGGTTGCAGTGTTTTCATAATATTCGGTATACATAACAACATTTATATTGCAGTTGTTGTTATTATTACTGTTTGGATTGGAATAATTTTCAGCTTCATTTCCATTAATTTTTGTAACTTTCAACTCACTGTCCAGATCTTTGTCTTCAAAACTTTCTGCATTCATTCTAGAACTCACTCTTTTGGTTAACTCATTTTTAAGTTGTTGAACCCCATCTGTGCCAATCGGTGAGACCTTGATTTCTCTTTCCAGTCTAAGACCTTCCTTATTATCCAACATTTCATTACAAATATCTGGTTTTTCACTTTCTGATTTGCCTTGTTCCCCTCCCTCTGGGGGAGGCCTTACCACGTCCACATGCTTCATGTCTTCTTCGGGTGGCCATTTAGGTTTGTTCACAATAACTTTCTCAACAGTGGAATTCTGCCTAGAATTGCCTGATGATGGAGGCCACATTATGCTCAGCTTGCCAATTGCACCTGATGTCTTAAGGGCTGCATCATCCAAATTGTCATGCACTTCATCTGCAGGCAAGCTTTGTGGATTACTTGCCATATTGGACTCTTTCATTAATGTTTTACTTTTTTCCTGTCTTTCGTGTCGAGGTGCTGCAGTTGTAGTTTGAGTTTTTGGATTCCATAGCTCTTTGTGTGGTTTGTATCCAAAGCCCTCGTCGTAATTTCCTTTTGACTTGAAGAGTTGTTTAAAGTGGGGTTTGCAGTATATGTTTCCACGGAGAGAAGCATAATTTCCTAAACTGTGAAGAAAAAAATAATAAATTGAACAAAAATTTTGAAAAGGAATGTATCAGAATGTTCACAATTGTGATAAGAACACACAAACGCACACCCAAAATGAACTCCCACCTATCTCTTCTGCTATTTAGCAGCATTTTTTATAACTACTGATGTGCACAGTTTTCAACGGCCAAGAGCTGTGCTCCTGCAGAGAAGTCAATGGCTTGGCTACTAATTATCTTTTGGCTGTGCCACTGTACCTGTGAACAGTTTTTAGTTTTATCCCTTGCAATAGATTGCTAATTGTGTAACCAATAGCAATCTATAGGAACAATAATGCACTTTCTGATTGCAATGTTATATCACTCAAGATGAAAAACTGCATATGTGGCTGCGCGCCCTAAAGATTGTAATCCAAAGCTGAAGGTATTTGAGATGCCTGTGTGTACTAAGCCATGTTAAGAAATAACGTTTTTCTGCAACAAGCTCAAAGGAGTACTTTGTGCAATTTGTGAGTGACCTCTTTTGACATAAATGTGTATATGTGGTAAAGCCAAAACTTTTCTTTGTAATTGTAGAGTATTGAAGGGGTTAAAATTCCTGTCAGTTATTATTTGCTGTCTGTGTCCCATTGGGGAGATTTCTTTGAAATTTCCTCTTCTGGTGATGGAACAGGAAGTGAGAAAAAAATCTCTCCAAAGTAAAGAGCAATCCCCGCCTCCAGTTATCCCCATTGGAAGATTTACTGACCTCTTGTTATGGTGGCAACTGTACAATTTGCACTCCCCATCACATTCTCTCTTAGTTGCAATGGTCACCAGGACTAACAGAGAGTACAGATTTCTGGGCACACAAACAGGGAAAAGACTCCAAAGCATGTACAGTGGGGCAAAAAAAGTATTTAGTCAGCCACCAATTGTGCAAGTTCTCCCACTTAAAAACATGAGAGAGGCCTGTAATTGGCATCATAGGTAGACCTCAACTATGAGAGACAAAATGAGAAAAAATCCAGACAATCACACATTGGCTGATTTGGAAAGAATTTATTTGCAAATTATGGTGGAAAATAAGTATTTGGTCACCTACAAACAAGCAAGATTTCTGGCTCTCACAGACCTGTACCTTCTTCTTTAAGAGGCTCCTCTGTCCTGCACTCATTACCTGTATCAATGGCACCTGTTTGAACTTGTTATCAGTATAAAAGACACCTGTCCACAACCTCAAACAGTCACACTCCCAAACTCCACTATGGTTGAAGACCAAAGAGCTGTCGAAAGGACACCAAAACAAAATTGTAGACCTGCACCAGGCTGGGAAGACTTTTGGAGGGAGTTGAAAGTCTGTGTTGCCCAGATACAGCCCCAAAACATCACTGCTCTAGAGGAGATCTGCATGGAGGAATGGGCCAACATACCAGCAGCAGTGTGTGCCAACCTTGTGAAGACTTACAGGAAACGTTTGACCTCTGTCATTGCCAACAAAGGATATATAACAAAGTATTGAGATGAACTTTTGATATTGACCAAATACTTATTTTCCACCATAATTTGCAAATAAATTCTTTCCAAATCAGCCAATGTGATTGTCTGGATTTTTTTCTTCATTTTGTCTTTCATTGTTGAGGTTCTACCTATGATGCCAATTACATGCCTCTCTCATCTTTTTAAGTGGGAGAACTTGCACAATTGGTGGCTGACTAAATACTTTTTTGCCCCACTGTACATACACCGCAAGTGCCAAACCCACAGCAAAAACAGTCCAATGGCTTTACTGTGTATAAAATGATCAAATAGCACACCCAATGCATTCTGGGGGCCAAACACACTTCCCAATTCATCAGGGCTACAAAACAAATGCAAACGTAAAAATTAGAAATATAAAAATCAAGGGATATACATATAACCAATTGAATATAACATCTGAATCCAGTGAATAGAAGATTCAGAAATAATAGTATCCTATAAACAAGAATGAAAATCAGAACGCTTCATTGGCAAACAGTAAAATGACTAAAATGGTCAAGGATATCTTAATAAAACAGGACAATACTACTATTGCATAAGTGAAATAATATTTGTTAAGGAGGTCAGATAATAATCCTACAAGAATAACTACGTCTAGAACATAATGCAAATGTGCTCTTTGTTACTATATTGTATAAAGATGCTTGAGACCACAAGTATGTTATAGTATAATCCTCGTAATTGTATATCAAATAATGGATTTCTATAAACTGCAATAGGTAAATGCATACTTTTGACTGTGCTTATGTAGACAAGGAGATACCAGATTGATGTGTATCAAATTTCCATTGTCATTGAAACAAAAACGTTTATCAGTGAGAAAAAGGAGTAGAATTGAAGAGGTTAAAATGATTTATGTTGGTTAAAAAGAAAGCCTCTGAGTGGATAGGGTGAAAATAATTACGTAAGGTTTTGCTCTTGTTCTTGGCTGAGCCTTTTCGTACTGTTCCTTTTTCCTTCAGTCTATTACTATGTCAGTATCAGTATCAATGCCCTTTCACTTATTCATTAATATTTTTACATTTCTCTCCTTCACCTCACTGTAGCTCCTCCCCCTCCTCTCATTCCTTCCTCCCTAGCCTGGATGCACTGGACCTCCTCCCCTCTTAAATTCTGAGGGGATATACTAACTAGTAACTTATTTTCTGCAACTGCACTAGCATGGCCTGTCGCTTAGGGCTTGTTCACATGGGTGGCCAGGGAAGCGGTAAAAGCAGGCAGATGAGCTTAAGTTTTACAGCCCTCCCCCCAACCTAGGAGATGTAGCCCACTCAGGGCTGCACACATTAAATGGCATGTTGCATTCAATGGGTGGTAACACTGCCCAATGAGACCCATTCATGTGTATTGCACACTGCAGTGGCATGGGGCTGTGTGTGGCATTTTTTGGGTTAACCCTTTCATTGCCAGAGCCATTTTTGCGTGTTTTCTTTTTTGTTTACATGTTTAAAATAAATAATTTTATCCTGAAGATTACATAACACAGTAGCAATTGTACGTACAAATATGGATGTGAACATCCATTTTGCCAAAGATCCTCCATCTTGTGTCATTTTTCACTCCAAATCAGCTCCCCCCTCCCTTTCTGTTGAATGACATGTGGTCCGTGTGTGCGGAGTTCAGGAGTGCACAGGGCACAGCTGGATACCCTTGATGGTTGTAAAACCCAATTAGTTGATGCCAGGGTGTCTGTCCCACTCTTGCTCTGAAGCTGATCGTAAAGCTATAAACCCGTCCGTCACTGGACTTCAAAAGCATTCCGGGATAGCAGTAAAACCTATATCTCATTTGGAGACCAATTTTTTATACACTTTCATAATTTCTCGGAGGAAATACATACAATAAAACAAGACATATATTCAAAGAGGTCATTGTAATACAAGTCACCTGATACCTTACACCCCTAGATTACATCTACCTGAGAGCAGAAAGCGATATCTCCTTAACCGTCACAGCCAGATATGTCATATGTGATGTCTGGACTTTCAGAATATCATTCTGCATATTATCCTGCCAGTGGATAGGATGCTACATGTACCTATGGAAGGTTATTGACCATGAAATAAACTGGGAGGGATTTGGTCATAGCCTGAGTTTCCCGCCACTACACCCTTCCCCAAATGAGGCGATTGATTCTCTGCTTTAAGGAGACACTATGCTGGGTTCCTAGAAAAAGGCTGTTATGCCTGAGAGAGAGAAATGAAGAGATCTACTTTTTAACATCAAGAATCAACTTTTGGAGAAAAGGCACCCTTTTGTTCGGACACTTGAGCGCTGCTAAAACCAGGATTTCTGCAAGTATTCTACCTCTAAACTTCTTTCTTTCTTCTCCCTGTTGTGTTATTGCTCTCTGTATATATATATATATATATATATATATATATATATATACTGTATATAGGCTACATCTTTTTCTGTAAATATTTTATTTGCACCACTTTGACCTTTTTAGTAATAAATCCTATTATCTGAAAAGTGTTGAAATGTTTCTAAAGCTCTTTAATGCAAACTAAGAATCCCTGTCTCTGAAGAGTGCTACTGTGTGTTTTTAAACTTCTGCATACATCTGCCTGTGGTGACAGTTTGTGTACAGATGCTTATTCAAACATCATAGTGTTACTGCTAAGATTGGCGAGTTTCCTCCTACTCTGTACAAAAAAGGTGGTGGTGTCAATGTGAAGGGTTAATTGCGTAATTAACCTGACCCAGTAACGATTGCTCTCAGGCTGTGGTACATAGGTTGTTTTCCAGTGAGTTGGAAAATCTTTGTGCGGGGTGCAGCTGAGCGTGGCATTGTTACGCACGTGACAGCACGGTTTTAGATTGGCTAGTCCTTCAGTCACAAGTTGGTGAGAAGCGCATGGAAAATATGGTACCACTCAAAGCACCCTACATATCATCCTGCCAGCTCCCTCTCTGTTCCAGTTGCTAGTCCCTCGGGAAGCACATCCTGCTCAGTCCATCTACAGCAATACAAAGCCCTGGGTTGACTTCTGTGTATATCAACCCCATTGCAAAGTGAAAGAACAAGCTTCAGCTACAGTCCCTGGCCATTGGCCACACCCCACTGAGGCATTTCACACAGACTTTGCTTAGTCATGGATCTACGATTAAGCCCAATCTGGGTGAAATGCATTAGCAGGCATGGCCAATGGGCAGGGACTGTAACTTAAGCTTGTATGGTTGATACACACAGAGTGCAATTTGGGGCTTTGTATTACTGTGAATGAAAAATCAGGTCTCTTTCCTGCCAGAATCTAGTGTGGCAGAGCTGTGTAAATGTCAGAAAATGGATGGACAGAGATACAAATCCTTTGACAGGTGAAACAAATACATTATAGGTACATGTCTCATCTCTTTATTTAGTTGTTTGCCTGAAGTTCAACTTTGATTATTTTCTGCTTTTTCATTGAGACCACTCACCTTAATTTACTCCCACAATGGTTACAGCGGAAGCAGTTTTTATGAAAGATCTGCTTGTCTGCCACCAGGCATTCCATTGGGTAAACCTTCTTTTGACAGACGATGCACGTTTCCTTTTTCCTGTGGAAGCGTTTTCTAGGGAGAGTACAGCAACATATTAATTCATATTCTAGTCTTGTTCTGATCAAAGCTTAAAGAGTAACTCCACTTTCTGGAAAAAAATATAGCACATAAAAAATATAGCATATACAATTGCTACACAAACCATGTTGTTATTTAATGTAATAACATTAAAATTTCCTTTCCTTTTCAATCTGCAGTCAATGTAAATATCTGTAAAGTTCAATAAATGCAACATGACAACCTGGAGGTGTTCTGTACACCACTTGTTTACAGAACACGCCCAGAACTGTCAGTTCCTGCTTGTGCGATTTATTTACTGATTTTTCCTGAAATCTGCGCTAAAATACAAGTCAAATTTTAGACCCCCCTGGCAACAGAAATTTCAGTTTTGGTGAGCTATTTCCCAAAAGTTAAATACTTCAAAAGGGATGCAGAACCTGCAGCGTTTCTCATTTAAACACTGAGAGCGAACCAGCTGATTATAAAAAATGTGTCCCTCGTTTTGAGAATCAGTATCCAATGGGCATTTTGAAACAATTTCTTCACAGGAGATTTTTTTTCTCAACCAAAAGTGGAGTTACACTTAAAGCCCATAGTTTGAACTCTAAAAATAGACATTTTTTCTTACCACATAAAAACATACATTTCACTGTCTTGTAGAACCTTGAATCTGCAGAAGCTATATGTATGTGTTTGTATTATGTTAAACATGCATTAAACACAATCAAAACAATTAGATTAGACCTATCTACCAGAGATGTATGTGGACCAGCATTGTGAGCCACTATTCCTGAATATAAAAAAAGGGATGAGGGAGCCTGATTTTGTAGATTGAGACCACTTTTCCCTTTAGAGGATTTCATCTTCAAATTGTTGCCCATGCAGAAGTTCAAAAGAGGTGCAGAGGTTACATATCCCCAACATCATCTCCCATACCCCATTGAACTCCTGTTTTGTCCTTTCATACTAGGTCATGCCCCCAAACTTCACACTAAAAACCACCCATCTTCATTTTTTTGCATCATTGCTAAGCAGGCAGGTGGAGACATCAACAGTGATGCCTTTCAGGGACTAGAGATAGACCCTGCTGGATTGAAACAACTAGCTCAAAGTAATTTGAGTGAATTTTAACACACTACAACTTTCTAAGATTATAAAGAGGAACATAAGTTAGCTCAAAGTATGTCCACAGTTACTGCATGTAGACTGTGAAGTATGCAAAAATGGTTGAACCCACAAGTACTATTTTTTACAACAACTTTTCATTTATGGCTTTTCAAAGTCACAAATGCAATAATTTCAAGTTTGGATCAAAGATGTATTGTAGTGTAACACTTTTTGCAGCTAAAAATTCCATATTGCCCTTCAATCTCCCTCTTTTAGATTTTTTTGTGGCACTAGGCAGGGGTGTCCATTGTCTCCCCTGCTTTTTTGCTATTACTATAGAACCTTTGGCTTACCTTATTCAGGCTTCAACAGTTTAGGTGTCCTTTTATGACACAGAGAATAGCTGTGATTCGGAGGATCGCAGCTATTCTCTGGTCATTCACAGTTTATAACACTCAGGAGAACATGTTCATCCCTTCACTGGAGATCTGTGTTCTCCCTCCAGATTCTCCAGCCCAGAGGAACAAAATAATTTGGTTCTAAAAGAGAGACAGTCCCTTCAAATAAGGGACAGTTGGAAGCTATGCTTGTTAAACTTCAACAACTTGCAAAGCTTCCTAAGTGCCGTTAGCAGTTCAGTGTTGCTTTGCCATGATCCTAATTGCAGAACTTAATTAATTTTGCTTTATGCAATCCTCTCTGTCATTGGCAACAAGCTATAAGACCTTTGGGAAGGTCTGTTTGCTTCTGTAAAGGCCTCAATACACGTAGCAAGACTGTCAAATCAAATAATTTCAGTGCGTTTACTCAGTAACCAGTTCATTGATGGGACACGAAAGATCATTTCAAAATGCTCCTGGGACTATATGGTCGTTCAAAAACTCATTCGGTAGAAAATAATATTTTCATCTGTTCCCTGTCATATAAATAGCAGTAATTGAGCATGGGGTATTGGACTGAGCAGTGCATGGGCAAGATGAGAAAATAACATGCCAATGGAAAGTTTGGATTCTTCATTAAATACCGCATATAGCCAGCTTATTGTTATCTTAATTTTACCTTAAACCAGAACACATTAGAAATCCATTCACTTGAAAAAGCTACATTGGCTGTCTAAAATGAGTATACTTAGAAACTTAACCATAACTGCACCTTTAAAGTTATTATATCCTATCATTACAAATATGAAGTTTTTTAGGTAATGTATTTCTTTTTATGATTTAACCAACATCTGCTGCTCTACTGTCTATCACAGGAAAGTATGTATGACAGAATCTAGATTATGCTAATGCACATTTTATGCAGCAAGGCATCTTTCAAAAACTTCACTAAGAATTTAAGTTCATTAAAACAAGGTCAGACAATGTTGTTTGAGAATATATATGTAGCAGTTACAATAACATCATAAAATAATGTAGCCTCATTTTGCAGCTGCTCTTCAGGCAGTGTAATGATGCTACAGTCTGTGCTGCATTTGACTGGATAATTATATGGCATTGATTTTTATTTAGTGAGGCTGTGGAGTTTCATAGGATATGCTAAATTATAGCAGTTCTTATCGGTGACCAAGGGGTTAGGGAGGGACACACATTTTGAGTGAAGTAGACTGAGACTTTGCACACAGAGGTCACATATGACCACTGAAAGGTTTAATTAGATCTGTGGTCTACAGCTCATAAGGTGCTCATATATTTGGCGCATATGTGTTTTTTGGTCATTAATGTTCTTCCATGTAATCATTTTGAGATTTAACACTCAATCTGATTCATATTGGAATAAATAATAATAAGACATTTCAGTAAACTCTTCCAGTGGCAGGTTTTGTTGTATATATGCAGATATAAACTGTTTTCCTGGGTCACCTATTTTACTGGATCTCTTTGTTCCAATATTGTAAAAGAATGTTTGCAAGTTTTGATATCCTAAGCTTTCCCAAGCTAAGGATAGGAGACATCACTAGTGTTAGTAGATGGCAATGGAAGTCATGGTTTAATATAAGTATATTACTCATTTTTACTAAATTCTTTTTTTGGTGTGTCCTAGTATGTTTACATAGAGAGGGGTACAGAATAATAGGATCTTCAACCCCTAGCAGTAAAGCACATAGTGCTTGCCCAGAGATCATGCATCAATTAAAAACTGCCCTTCACAATGCTGTAACATACTCTATTCTTCATAGCTTCTTATGAAACTGCATTGTTTCTTTACTTGCATAACAATTTACTAGAAACATTACATACTACTTGTCTGCCAATATATAATATTTCATGCAGTTTTTAAATCATATGCAAACCATGTGTGCTGTGAGTGCAATTAGTATGCAAACATATGCAAATGCGTTGTTGTTTTTACCTCAATTTTCAATTCCATTCTACTTTCAGCACAGTAGTCAATGTTAATCACAAACACACACAGTAAGTCAGTAAAGAAGAGGCCTTTAGGAAAAAACAGAGAAGAAGCAGTAGTAACTATACTAGCGGGTAATAAAATGTTAGTTTTGAGCCACAATTTGTATTTCAACTGAACTGCAAATGACTTCATGCACAGACTGTAAATTTTAATTTGTTAATGGTGCCTCAAACTGGTCATGCCAATTTACCAGTAACATATTCTTCCTGATGATAGCTGCTTGTCATTTCAGAAGTATCTGAGACGGTATAACCGAGACTCTTAAATACTCTTTCACTTTCTTCCCAGGTTTTCTGAAAATTCTTCAATATTTCCTCTGGAGATTCAGCAGTGGAAATGTCAAGCATGTGACCTGATATGACATCTTCATATGTTGGAGGAGCATGTTTGAATTCGAAACCTGGTTTTACACCTTCAGGGTTCCATGGTGCCCTTGATCTAGTCACCTTGCTTTCCATCTTGTCAACACCAGAAATTTTGGGATATTGTCTCAGAATGCATTGCTGGTTTAAATAAATGCTCATTGCTCTCTTCTTGACTGCTCACAAACATATGCTTGGATGTGTTCTCTCTGTGGTCTTTAAGCTGCTTTATTGGAACTGTTCTAGATTTCACTGTTGAAGAAACATCAGAAGCTGATTTTTGACTTTCCTTTTGCTGTGTCTTTTTTTGTCCAGTTTGTGTTCTGAAACGAGAATTTACACTTTCCGTTTGGCCTGCTGTTTGCACTTTTCTTGAACTGTCTGTACTTGATCTCTTATTTGTTTCATCTCTCATGTAAACATTTTTAGCTTTTGGTTCAAATGTGTGTTCTGCAGGAATATTGTTTTTCTGTGAGATTGATACCACATCCAAACTATCCAGGTCTGGGCCCAGCCACTTTGGAATGTGCTTTGGATCACGTTGAGAGAGTGCTTGATGCATTTCAGATATTCTTGCTTCTTCATAAATTTCTGTGCGGTCTTCCACTGTGCTGACTGTCACTTCACCTAAAGGTACCGGTGTGGTACTTACAGAGCCTGTGGTGTGGCTCTCTATTTTAAGCTGTCTTCTTAAAGTTGAGGGAGAATGTACAATCTCGCATCTTTTTTCTGCCACTACTGGAATAGGAGTGACAGCTCGATGTGTTGTTGTTCCTTGGGATAACTTTGCAGTGGTGTCTTTGAGTTTTGCAAGCTGCTCTGTACGATTCTTTTGGGGAGATGGAGAAGGAGTTGGAGTTGTTTTGGCTGTTGCAGTACGCTTTGGTGGGAGTGGTACCGTGACTGGTTCTTTTGTGGAAGCAGAAGTGCATGGAACTCTGTCTTTTTGTGGGGATTCTGTACGCCTTACAGTGGATTCTATAGTTATGTAAGTAGGTGATGGTGATCGCATCCTCAGCAAAGGAGAACAAGCTCTGATATCAGATTGCTTCATATCAGTTGGCAACCTACTGAAATCATTGCTGATCTTTCTTTGTCTACTTGCCACGTCAACTTTTTTGGAAACTGTGCTAAC